CTCAGTTTTTGGCGTCCAACGTCCATTTCGTGCGAAAGGGTTGCGCACGACGCTTCAAAATCGCAATTTTACCTAGGTTTTGGACGTCCAACGTCCATTTCGTGCGAAGGGGTTGCGTTTCGTGGCGCTCCGGCGGCACCGCCCCCGCCTTAAGAGAGAATAGAAGAAGAGCGAGAAGAGATCTGCAGATGTGAAGGTGTGAAGATCTAGATCTGCAGGTGTGAGGGTGTGAAGATCTAGATCTGCAGGTGTGCGGGTGTGATGATGTAGATCTGCAGATGTGAGGGTGTGATGATGTAGATCTGCAGATGTGAGGATGTGATGATGTAGATCTGCAGATGTGAGGGTGTGAAGATCTAGATCTGCAGGTGTGAGGGTGTGAAGATCTAGATCTGCAGGTGTGAGGGTGTGAAGATCTAGATCTGCAGATGTGAAGGTGTGAAGATCTAGATCTGCAGATGTGAGGGTGTGAAGATCTAGATCTGCAGGTGTGAGGGTGAAGATCTAGATCTGCAGGTGTGAAGGGATGAAGATCTGCAGATGTGAGGGTGTGAAGATGTAGATCTGCAGATGTGAGGATGTGATGATGTAGATCTGCAGATGTGAGGGTGTGAAGATCTAGATCTGCAGGTGTGAGGGTGTGAAGATCTAGATCTGCAGGTGTCAGGGTGTGAAGATCTAGATCTGCAGATGTGAAGGTGTGAAGATCTAGATCTGCAGATGTGAGGGTGTGAAGATCTAGATCTGCAGGTGTGAGGGTGAAGATCTAGATCTGCAGGTGTGAAGGTATGAAGATCTAGATGTCCAGATGTGAGGGTGTGAAGATCTAGATCTGCAGGTGTGAAGGTGTGAAGATCTAGATCTGCAGGTGTGAAGGTGTGAAGATCTAGGTCTGCAGGTGTGAAGTTGTGAAGATCTAGATCTGCAGGTGTGAAGGTGTGAAGATGTAGATCAGCAGATGTGAAGGTGTGAAGATGTAGTATAACGGCTGCTTTTTTACGAAGAACCCTTCGCAGGCGCTCTCGGGAAAAATGTGACGAACGGCTTCCCAGTTCGAGGAACTGCTGGTTCCCAAGCAATCTTGGAAGCACATGCCCCCAGTTCTAAGAACTAGCGGTTCCCAACCATTGGAGTCGATGCTTCCCAATCTTGGAACCACGGGTTCCCAGTTCGAAAACTTCTGGTTCCCAAAAGACCGAACCAATGCTTCCAAATCTTGGAAGCACATGTTCCCAGTTCTAGGAACAAGCACTTCTCAAACATTGGAGCCAATGCTTCCCAATCTTGGAACCGCGGGTTCCCAACAGATGCTTCCAATCTTGGAACCACGGGTTCCCAGTTCTAGGACCTAGCGGTTGTCAAACGTTGGAACAAAATGCTTCCCAATCTTGGAACCACGGGTTCCCAGTTCTAAGAACTAGCGGTTCTCAAAAGTTGGAACCAAAATGCTTCCCAATCTTGGAACCACGGGTGCTCAGTTCTAAGAACTAGCGGTTCTCAAACGTTGGAAACAAAATTCTTTTCAATCTTGAAACCACGGGTGCGCAGTTCGAGGACTTGCTGGTTCCCAAGCACCCTGCACAAGCTGCCCTTGCCAGGCATGCACAGCATCTTTGCCAGACTTTGCCACCGAAGCACCCACAGCAGCCTGCACAGGAGCCCGCACAGCACCTTTGCCGACAGCCTGCACAGCACCTGCACAGCTTTGCCAGACCTCGCCACCGCACTCCGGACAGCAGCCAGCAGGCCAGCCACTTGCGACGAACACCTCACCCCTGCACACTGCCAGACACTGTCAGCAGCAGCCTCATCCCGGACAGCCCTGCACAACACCTTTGCCAAGCCTCACCCGCACAGCTTGCACAGCCTGTATAGCACCCTGCACAGCACCCTGCACAGCACCCTGCACAGAACCCCGCACAGCACCCTGCACAGCACCCTGCACAGCACCCTGTGCACTGCCCTGCAGCACCTTTGCCCAGCGGCGGGGCAGGGGGGAGGGGGAGGTGCAATATTATTATTTATTATTTTTTTTGCAAGGCCGGGGGGGGAATTATTGTTTGAGTGCGAGGTGGGCTGAAGAGGAGGGGGGGGAGATTATTATGATTGATTTTTTTTTAAGAGGGGGGGGGAGAGCATTATCTTATTTGCCTAGAAAGAGTGCAAGCCAGGGGAGGGCGGGGACAGGGGGGAGGGGGTGCAATATCATTATTTATTACTTTTTTGCAAAGGCCGGAGGGGGGTGGAAACTAGTATTGTTTTGGGTGCGAGGTGGGCTGACGGGGAGGGGAAGGGGAAAAATAATGTGATTGATTTTTTGAAGAGAGGGGGGGGAGGGGAGAGCATTATCTTATTTTCCGAGAAGGAGTTGAAAGCCAGAGGGGGGGGGGTAGGGGGGAGGGGGGGGGGGCATTATTCTATTTTTTTTGCAGGCCGGGGGGAGGGGGGAATGGGGGGGGGAATTATTATTGTTTGGGTGCGAGGTGGGCTGACGGGGAGGGGGGAGGGGGGGGAAGATTATGATGATTGATTTTGGTAAGAGGAGGGGGGAGAGCATTATCTTATTTGCCGAGAAGGAGTTCAAGCCAGAGGGGCGGGGTAGGGGGAGGGGGGGGGGGGGATTTTTTTTTTTTTTGCAAGGCCGGGGGGGGGGAGCATCATTTTTTTGGGCGCGAAGCCATTGAAAGGCAGCAGGTGGGTTGGAGGGGATCGGGAAGGCAGAGAGAGTAGCCAAGGGCAAGTGGGCGGGAGGGGAGGGGGGGAGGGGGAGGAGATTATTATTATTTATTTATTTTTTGTGGGGTGGGGCGTGTAATTATTATTATTTCGGCCTCATAATAACAAATCGATGTTGATTTATTAGTTTTATTTCCGGGAAATAATAGTAATGACTCGGATTCGCTCGTATTATTTTGGCAAAATAATACGTATGAATTGATTTCGAAATATTCTTATGCTTATGTCCACGAAAAAATGATAATGACCCGGATTTGGTGGTATTATTTCCGTGGAATGATATCTGTTCTGGTTTCGTGTGACTGCAACGAGCTTGAAGGTGGGTGGGGGGGGAACGATTATATTTATTTATTTTCTCGGGGGGGGGGGCGCCGAACATTATTATTTTGTGTTGATGCTACTACCGCTAACTACGACTACTACTGCGACGACTAATACTACTAGTAGTACTACTACGACTACTACTACGACGACGACTACTACTACTACTACTACCACCACTACTACTATTACTACTCATGGAGTTCTCGGCGGGGATGGTGGGTGGAGGGAGGGGGAAGCGATTGTATTTATTTTTTTTGTCTCGGGTGGGGGGGGGCGCCGAACATTATTATTTTGTGTGGATGCTACTACCACTAGCTCATGGAATTCTCGGCGGGGGGGGTGGGTGGAGGGGAGGGGGATACCTCCCCCCGAACCATTATTATTATTTCGCGGAAATAATAATAATGAATCGATTTCGATTCATTATTATTATCTCGCGGAAATAATAATAATGAAGCGAAATCGATTATTATCATATTATTTCGCGGAAATAATAATACTGAATCGAAATCGATTCATTATTATTTTTTCGCGGAAATAATAATAATAATGAATCGATGGAAATAATAATAATGAATCGATTTCGATTCATTATTATTATTTCCGCGAAATAATAATAATGGTTCGGGGGGGGTACTGCCGGCCCCCCTTTGGCCGCGGCGCGAAAATGAGAGAAATTAAGGGCTTTAGTACATACGCAATTTAAAACGGGAAAAAAAAGAAAAAAAGGAGCCCCACATACGAATGATTGCCCTTGCATACGAATGAATGCCTTCCAAAAAAAAAGTCTGAACCCCAATTCATTCGTATGTCTTCCAATTCATTCGTATGTCTTCTCCCCCCAAAAAAGTCGGAACCCCAATTCATTCGTATGTCTTCCAATTCATTTGTATGTCTTCCCCCAAAAAAAAAAGCCTGAACCCCAATTCATTCGTATGTCTTCAAATTCATTCATATGTACGCCAAAAAAAAACTCTGCATCTCAATTCCTTCGTCTGTATTCCAATTCATTCGTATGTCTTCCAAAAAAAAATTGAAGCCCAATTCATTCGTATGTCTTCCAAAACATTCGTATGTCTTCCAATTCATTCGAATGCCCGCCCCAAAAAAGTCTGAACCCCAATTCATTCGTATGTCTTCCAAATCAATCCTATGTCACTACTATTACTACTAGTACTGCTGCTACTACTACTACTACGACGGCTACTACTACTACTACGACGACGACTACTACTACTACCAGCACTACTACTAAATTTGGAATGAAGAAACAAGCAAATATACCGCCCCCCCCCACCAAAGAAAAAAATAATAATAACAACTGTGAAATAATGGATCCATTTCCTTCGAACGCTTCCTGCTGTGAAGAGCACCATGCACAGCACCCCGCACAGCATCCTGCACAGCACCTTTGCCAGACCTCGCCACCGTACTCTGGACAGCACCCTGCACAGCACCCCGCACAGCACCCTGCACAGCACCTTTGCAAGACCTCGCCACCGTACTCCTGGACAGCACTCTGCACAGCACCCCGCAGCACCTTTGCCAGACCTCGCCACCGCACTCTGGACAGCACCCTCCGCAGCACCCCGCACAGCACCCTGCGCAGCACCTTGCCAGACTTCGCCACAAAGTTCGCCACCGAAGACCTGACCTTTGAGAAGTAAGAACCCCTATAGCTTCCAGCTATCTGGGGAACAACGAGAAAACATGAGACAACATGAGGTGAAAGATATCAAATCAGGCAAACACAGCGAAGAAGACAACGGAAGCAAGCAACATAGGCAAAGACTAAAGAAGCTTAAACTTAAACAAGCGTCACCATCTCCTCATGTGATAGTGCCCGATTCCATGTAATGACCTCCATGCATGCAAAAGCAGACGTTTCTTGATGATGCTGTCCTGTATTGATCACAAGAGTGTTGTCCTGGCTCAATGGTTCAGCCTGTGCCGTTGCGATGTTTTGGAGATCGTCGCCGCGTACTCCCAAATACACTCTTGGGGCACCATTTGTCCCGCACAGGACTACCCACTCCATGTTTGTCGGGGGAGTGTCTGTCCCCGTGACCATTTGGCATAGTGGACAACGTTGATGCGGTCAGACCAATGGCCATGAAGGAAGTTTGATTCCTTCGTCTGCAAGATCCGTCCCCGAGGCTCACCAATACCGACTGTCCCAGTATAGCGGGTCACTGAGCAAAGAGTGAAGGTCGTGGGAATGACTTTGCCAAACCTGCCCAACAACACACCACCCCTCCTGGAATCTCGTAAACTTGAGTTTCTCACAAGTTTGGTAGCAATTTATAAGCAAGTAATGACTTGGGAGGGTAAGACCCGCAACTACTCAGTCAGGGTTCAGTGCTCCCAGGTTACATGATCAAGAACGATCAAAATCCAAAGCTTCTCAGAAACATGAATTCAGAAACTCATAGGCCATCCATTCTCTTCCTTTGATGTAGGTCACTGGCCGGTCCGCTCCATAGCCAGCACCGACCTCCCTGGTCACCGATTTGTGTAGCGCCTTTCCTTCAAAATCTCCCACTGAGCTGGGCCAAGTCGATCCGGCGTTTTCACCTCAGCCGACAACCAGCCATGGAGTTGGAATAGGTGCGCTTGGATTCCGCTTGTGGAATTGGCGTGGCTCCAGACAGTATAAGACCATATAAGACGCTTAGAAAAGGTGTAGAATAGTTTTTGGTTTTTTTTTTGCCTCAGGTTTTGGATTTGTTTTGGCTTTCTTTCTTGGTACATTTTGCCTTGTATTTGCAACAGTTTGGAACTAGAACCTGTCATTTTGATTCATTTTGTATGGTATTTACAACATTTTGGCATGGTCACTTTGCATTTTGCATGGTATTTGCTACATTTGGCAATGTTTGCCTTCCATTTTGCATGGTATTTGCAACATTTTGGCATGGTCACTTTGCATTTTGCATGGTATTTGCTACATTTGGCAATGTTCGCCTTCCATTTTGCATGGTATTTGTTACATTTTGGCATTCCAACATCTCGTTTGCATGGTATTTGCTACATTTTGGTACTTCAAACGTTCATGTGGGTCTCCTGGGGGTTCTTTAGGCTTTCATTTAGGGTGTCATTTAAGGTTTCATTTAGGGTTTCATTTAAGGTTTTATTTAAGGTTTCATTTGGTGTTTTATTTAAAGTTTCATTTACTTTAGGGTTTCTTTAGGGTTTCATTTAGGGTTCTTTAGGGTTAGGGTTTCTTTAGAATTTCATTTAGGGATTTTTTCCGGTTTCATGTAGGGTCTCTTATCGGGATTTCTTATCAGGAGTTCTAAACGTTCAAATGGGTTTCTTTAGGGCTTCTTTAGGGTTTCATTTAGGGTTTCTTTGGGGTTTCAGTTTGGGTTTCATTTAGGGTCTCATTTAAGGTTTCTTTAGGGTTTCATTTAGGGTTTCTTTAAGGCTTCTCTAGGGTTTCATATTTAGGGTTTCATTTAGGGTTTCATTTGGGGTTCTGTTAGAGTTTCATTTAAGGTTTCTTGAGGGTTTCAATTTAGGGTTTCAATTTAAGGTTTCATTCAGGAATTCATTTAAGCTTTCTTTAGGGTTTCATTCCAGTGTTTCTTGTCAGGATTTCTTTTCACGATTTCTAAACCTTCAAGTGAGTTCCTTTAGGGCTCCTTTAGGGTTTCATTTAGGGTGTCATTTACGGTTTCTTTAGGGTTTCATTTAGGGTTTCTTTAGGGTTTCATTTAGGGTTTCAATTTAGGGTTTCATTTAGGGTTTCATTTAGGGTTTCTTTAGGGTGTCAATTTAGGGTTTCAGCTAAGGTGTCTGTTAAGGTTTCATGTAGGTTTTTTTCAGAGTGTTGTTTTGGGTTTCTTTGGGGTGTCTTTTAAGGTGTTATTTAAGTTTCTTTAGAGTTTCATTCATGGTTTCTTTAGGATTAATTTATGGTTTCTTTAGGGTTCATTTATGGTTTCTTTAGGGTTCATTTAGGGCTTCATGTAGGGTTTCTTATCAGGATTTCTTTAGGTTTCTTTGGGTTTCACCAAGGATTTCTCTAGGGTTTCATTTGGGATGCGAACAGAACAGAATAAAGCAAAAGAAAATGAAAAACAAAGAGACAGTAAAGACAGGAAGCAAAGAAGCAAAGGAGCAGGAAGTAGAGCAGCAAAAACACATGACTGAACAAAAGAAAAAGTAGAATAGTAGAAGTAGAAAGGCACAGAATTACAAAAGCATAGAAGCAGGGAAAAGAGAGAAGCAGAAAAGCAAAGAAGCAGGAAAAGCAAAAAGCAGAAAAGCAGAGAAGCAGGAAAAGAAGAGAAGCAGGAAAAGCAAAAAGCAGAAAAGCAGAGAAGCAGGAAAAGCAGAGAAGCAATGTAAGCAAAGAAGCAGAAAAGCAGAAAATCGGAGAGCAGGAAAGCATAGAACCAGGAGCCCAAAAAAAAATCCAAAACCTGCCGCGGAAAAAAAAAATAATAATAAATAGCCCTCCATGGCTTAGAAAACCATGGAACTCAAAACGCAGAACTCTCTGGTTGCCTTTCTTCACAAGATTCTTGCTGAACACTTCTCTACAAAGTTTTTGACAATATTTCTTCGCGAAACACTGGCGCAACACTCTTTCGCTTCACTGGAGGACTGGTGTAACATTGTGTAACATGTTTTCACACTAGTGCGAGCACTCACGCCGTGACCCAGGGATTCAACAGGTTCAACCTACAACAGCTTCTCATGAAGCGACGTTGGCAGCGCCCTGGACACTCCCAAGTCTCGCAGGGCCAAACACTTCGAGTCAGCTGGCACTTGGAATGCAAGCAACATCGCTGTACGAAGAAAAAAAAATAACGCTTGCGATGCTTATGATGCTTCAGGAAGTCTTGTGGAACATCTAGGCTGCTCTTGCACCACGCTCTTGCAAAAACAACTCCTACCTCTCTTGTGGGACATTCTTCAACAACACTCTGGCAGACCATGTTGCAATCACGCTCCAAAAAGCCACTCATTCATGCTTTGGTAGAACTTTGGGCCCCTGATAGCATGGAAACAGACCTCCATAAAGAATGCACCTCACATAGCCAGCTCAATCTGACTCGAAACATATGTGCGTACAAACGCGCCTCAAAGTAGCTGAAGGAAGAATTGTGCGGCAATGCGGTGTGCTGGAAAGAATCCAACGTGTCGCGCTGCTTCTTCCAAGTCATAATCTAAGTTTTTGGGTGTTTTTGGCGATTTAAGACGTCTGCAGTTCTATCATGAAGATGTTTCGGGTTTCACATCGCTCCTCCGTGGACTAAGCCCGATCGCTCCGCGCAGCGGTGTTAATGCCGGTCCAAGCGAAGATCTTCGGTCATCTTCATACGGGACTAAACGGGCAGGGGCCAATATAGTTGATGGACGAAAGGCATGGCAAACCATGGCGCAACATCGCACAATGCGGTTCACAACACACAATGCCCAGCACAGACTTGGATTATACAAGAAGAAAAAGAACCCGGGGTACCCCCACGCATTTGAGAAAAGAGCAATTCAGCGCATCAAGGTGAAAACTTTGTCTGCCCAGCCACTTTTAAACCACGATACCATACCCTCTGCCGGAGGGTCATCTGGTTTGGGTATAGTTGCTTGGCCTACTTTGGCAATGGCAATGCCCGTCAGCTGGACGTGTCCGCGGCCCACGCGGTCGAACTCGAAAGTGATTTCGCCACGGGGGTTTGCCGCGGCGACACCGTTCATCTGGGCCATAAAATAGCCATCTTGCGTGACGGTAGCCTCTACCCCGTGATTCACCGACACCAAGTTATCCTGATGGTAGTGCGACCCAATGCGATCCGAGGAGTAGATCGTGTACAAGTACTGGGCTGCTGGCACCAATCCACTTACAACTGCAGTGGCCTTGCCATTAATATTTCTGAGGAATCCATACGCATAGTCTCTCGTGTGTGTCCATCCGCTTAGAGCAGCCGTGTAGCCATTGTACAAGGTCATGTGGAAAGTTTGATCCTGTACACCGTCCAGGGACTCATGGCCTTTTGATTCGAAATTGTTATCGACCCACCTGGCCAACCGCTCGGCTGGTTCCAACATGGCACCAGCTCGCAGTTTCCATTGCAGGTACTGAACAGCTGTCCTGAGTAGCCCAGGGTTGTCCAGCTGTTATGCTTGGAAAACATGTAGCAAGAACAACAACACGACGATTACGACGATGTGCACGATGCAGTAAACGCAGTGCCAATCATCAATTGCAACCAAAAACTGCCAGAAACTTAAAGGCAAAAGACAAGCCCTAGACAACACAAAAAGAAAGATAATAAGGCAAACACAGCGAAGAAGACAACGGAAGCAAGCAACATAGGCAAAGACTAAAGAAGCTTAAACAAGCGTCACCATCTCCTCATGTGATAGTGCCCGATTCCATGTAATGACCTCCATGCATGCAAAAGCAGACGTTTCTTGATGATGCAGTCCTGTATTGATCACAAGAGTGTTGTCCTGGCTCAATGGTTGAGCCTGTGCCGTTGCGATGTTTTGGAGATCGTTGCCGCGTACTCCCAAATACACTCTTGGGGCACCATTTGTCCCGCACAGGACTACCCACTCCATGTTTGTCGGGGGAGTGTCTGTCCCCGTGACCCATGTGTTATAGTGGACAACGTTGATGCGGTCAGACCAATGGCCATGAAGGAAGTTTGATTCCTTCGTCTGCAAGATCCGTCCGCGAGGCTCACCAATACCGACTGTCCCAGTGTAGCGGGTCACTGAGCAAAGAGTGAAGGTCGTGGGAATGACTTTGCCAAACCTGCCAACACACCACCCCTCCTGGAATCTCGTAAACTTGAGTTTCTCGCAAGTTTGGTAGCAATTTATAAGCAAGTAATGACTTGGGAGGGTAAGACCCGCAACTACTCAGTCAGGGTTCAGTGCTCCCAGGTTACATGATCAAGAACGATCAAAATCCAAAGCTTCTCAGAAACATGAATTCAGAAACTCATAGGCCATCCATTCTCTTCCTTTGATGTAGGTCACTGGCCGGTCCGCTCCATAGCCAGCAACGACCTCCCTGGTCACCGATTTGTGTAGCGCCTTTCCTTCAAAATTTCCCACTGAACTGGGCCAAGTCGATCCGGCGTTTTCACCTCAGCTGACTGCGAAACATGTTGTGGCTCAAATGATCTGTCAAGTATGAACCATCGTAATCCGTCGGAAATGACAACAAAGCATCAACTGTCAATGCTTTCAACAAGACCTCCGCACCAACGCCTTTTCCCCGTTCCCCCACCCAATCCCGGTCTCCCCCACACCCCCTAGATTAGCTTCGCCATAGTTTCGCCTTATACAGACCCTCCAGCCTAAGCCTTCGGCTGGCTTTCGTCTATCTATCTATCTATCTATCTATCTATTTATCTATCTATCTATCTATATTCTATATATATATAATGTATTGCTTACCATCATGACGCCAGTAAAACGGGAGTTTCTCCAAGGCACTTTTGAACCAGGAGACCATGCCCTCTGCAGGTGGATCATCGGGCTTAGGTGGCACAGTGTCAGTTGGCACAATCGGCTGGGCAGGGCCCGTTCCTGCGCTCAAAACTTGGCGGGGACAATTCACGACAAGTCATACCAGCCCGGCTGTGCCGGGGCAGAAGTTTCGAAAACAAAACACCCGTATAGGAAGGAGATGGCCGATAAAGATTGTGGTGAGTTGCAAGAAACTTGAGAGCAGGCGGAGGCGGACGAAAGGTAGTGTAGTGGGAGAGGAGTGGTGTCAAAATGCTGCGCCCCTAAGATGATACACCAAAAACGTTTTTGCGCAGTCTAAGATGATTTTATCCAGAGCATGACTGCATGATACGGTGTCTTGTGCAGCGTGAAATGATGCACAAAAAGGTGTTTATTTAAGAACTCACGCTCCTCACTGTTTTCCACACTAGCTGGAAGGTGCTCTGTGAAACTCAGCCTGTATGGCTGTTTGTAGTTTTGGCCACAGCTGTATGCTTCAAGGGCCGGGAATTGCAAAGCAGGGCGGGTAGCCTTGAGCAGTGGAAAGGCGTCATCCACATTCATTCTTATGTGCCCAAGAACTCACGCTCCTCACTGTTTTCCACACTAGCTGGAAGGTGCTCTGTGAAACTCAGCCTGTATGGCTGTTTGTAGTTTTGGCCAACCTCCCAACAACCCAGCACTACCAAAGCTGTGGCCAAGCCCGCTCCGGAATCTTGTTTTCCTTGAAAAACTTTGACCTTTTCAAGATCTTGGGGAACTGGTTGCAGAGCTCTTCAATTCGGCTTCGTGTCTCTAAAGACAATTGATCGGTATAGGTGGCAACTGCAGCCTCTTGCAAGTAGATCTCCAAAGACCTTTGAACTGATCCAGCGCCCTTTTCTTCGCACATATTCAGCGTCTTCTGTGCACTGCAGCCAATACGTGGCTCCGCCAGGCCGGAGTGATGACAAGTTGTAGATCTCACTGCCATCAATTCGGACTACGCCAAGTGCTGACTGCAGCTGAGCAAACCTCCGTCTCATCGTCGCAGGCGCCCATGGCCACAAAGGCTCATCTGGCGTGAGCCTAGCAAAGGCTATCGTCAGGAGCTCGACGATGTCAGCTGGGTCAATCCTCGACGATTGGTGTCGAGCTGCACGGCCTCTTGTCTTGGGAAGCCGTATTTTGAGCACAGCGAACCAAACCCCAGGCGCTGCATCCTGGGGTAGCACAAGGTCTGACCTTTTGGCGGAGAAGACCTCTCCGATTCTCAGAACTCCTGTCCATGCCAATGCCAGCACCGCCGCTTCGCGCAGCCAACCCCATAAAAGGCCAAGTGCAACGCAGGCCAAAAGGATGGTGACTGGCAAGGCGGCATGATGCTCATGTGGCTCATCAATGAGCCAGTTGAAAGCCAAGTCCCATGCAGCTCCAAGGTTACGCCTCAGAGCTGGCCTCCTTGTGGTCAGGGCATTTATCGTCTCAGAGAAACGCCCGTAGGATTTTCCAGGCTGGTACATATCCTTGCCATAAGCCACAACTGCTTCAGAGACATCCTCAAAGTTAATCGACCTTCCATCAACTAACTCAACAAGAGTCGTCCTCCAGTTTGCAGCAGGCCAGGAATCAAAAGCTGTAAGCAAGCAGTCCCTGCGCTGTCGAGTCTGTGGCAAAATTACCCTGTCAGCTTGTAACACATTTCCAGCCCGGCGCATAGCCCGGTCAACCTCACCTGTTCCAGCGGGCATCAACGGCATGGCTTCGGCATGGGGAATGAGCTGAACGAGGGCAACAGCAAGGATTAGACCTACCCAAAGCCTTTTGGGGGGCTTAGTTAAAGGGGGCCAATACCAACTGCAAATCCAAAGGAGCAGGACAGAAAATCCACGTCCGACAAAGGCATCCGGAGAAGGTCCAGGCAGATGTGCAGGGCAAAATCCAAGGAGCGAGCTGTGAAGGTGATTGCAAGTCCAACACCCTTCACCAGGAGAGAGACAAAATCCAACAAGTATGAAAAGCCGAATCCAACCTGGTGTGGCTCTCGAGAACTGGCAAGAATGCAGAGAGGCAATCTGGTCGTTGGAAAGAAAATCCAAAATGGAAAGTCCAGAAGGGTCAGGGAGCTGTCGGTCTCTCATAGGGCCATCTGCTGTGTTCAGACGGGTTGGTGCAAATCCATAGGCAGGGTGCAAGTTTCCAGCAATGGAGTAGGCACAGGCTCTCAGAAGTGATGGTCGAAGCGGCCAGGCCGAAGACCTACCTTTCGCATGGGCACCCTTGGCAACTCTGGAGTCAAGCAGGGCGTTAAAACGCCTGTCACCACCTTTCAACACAAGGCGCCTCTGGAGGGCGACAAGTGACCTGCTCTCAAAGACATTTATATGTGCAGGTTTTTCCCAATTCCCAAACCGAACAGACCTTCCAGGGAGCGCAAGCAAGGACATCATTGAGCACAACACTCTCAAACTTCGGCACCTCAGGTTCATCAAACTGCAAAGCCCTCTGACGTAGGGTCCTGGCGATGACAGATGCAAGGTGCTTGGCAAGTCCAGGGTGGTACATGGCTGAGGCTTTCGTGTACTTTCCCTCAATCCTCACATGGTTATGGCCCCCAGGACACTTTGCAGCAATCTCATGCATAGGCAGGAAACACCCCAAGAAACGGAACGGCTTGCGGTGAACGCATCCAAAAACACAAGAGTCAGTGAACGCCTCGGAACATCCAAGCTTCAGGAGGAACTGCCAAATGCTAAGCCAAGCCATCTTTGAGAGTCTAAGTTGTTCAAGCAGTCCAATGACCTCATGCCGCAAAGCAAACCACAGTATGGCAAGGCACCGAAAAGCAAGCAGGTTCCCAAGGTGGGTCTTTGGGTTCCTCCTGTCAAATCCAAGTGGTACTGCATAGGAGCGACTGGCCGGATGCTGTGCTGGGGAAAATGTCGTGCAAACAGGCTCAACAATGACGGATCGGAAACGGCGCGTGGCAATCATATGAAAAATCCATTCAACAAGCCGCAGATCCTTCAGGTCACAGTGCTGGCTTCCTGAAATGTCAATTGGCATGCAAACATTCAACCCCTCACCTGCAAGTGCTTTGGACAAAACGCCGGACCCACCACAAATCTCAACTGCAACAAAAGTCAAGGCCTTTCTGTGGTGCTTGGAAATCACTGGGGTTTTCTGCATCATCGACATCACAGCCCAAAGCTCTCAACTGGCTCCGCGCAGGGTTGTCAAGCATCGTGTAGGCCCCTTTTCTGTCACCTGCAAGCCAAATCATCTCGCTGAGGCTCGGATCGATGTTTGCTGAGGTGAAGGCGCCTTTTGACATGGAGGCATCTGTGGCATAGATCTCATCATCATAAGCAACAGAGACATCAGTGACAGCGATAAGGCTGAAAATTCCTGCCAAAACAAGTTCTTCGGCAACCCCTCTAGGCAGCTTTAGGACCTCACCTTCATCATCAACAGCTCTGGAGCCAAACGCAAACAAATCTGCAAGCACGCAACATAAAGGCCTCCGATACATGAAAATGGAGACCCAGTTTCCGGCAGTTCTGGCAGCAAGAGCCCTGGAGATGATCGGCATCTGCGCAAGCTTCAAAGAAAGGCAGGACATGGGAATACGCTTGGCCGCAGGAGCTCCAACCGTAATGGCCCCTGCATCTCTGGCTTTCTTGTCAGAGAAAACCTCAGCGCCAATGACCTTGAAATTCTCCTCGCCCCGCACTGTCTTCTCATCTGAACCGAAAACTCCATGCCTTTTGTAGGCTTCCTCAGCTGTCTGCAAGCTCTTGACAGAAGCGGACTGGGCGTTGTCACTCCCTGCAGCGTCACGGGAAATTGAAAAGAAATCATCAATCACAACTCCCTGCCAGCATGGGCCACGAGGAAAAACCTCGTGCCGTCTCACCCAGTTCTCAGCCTTCAAAAGTCCAGAGTCCTCAAGCATCTTGCAGTGACTAGACAACGCGTACTCGACACCTAGGTGATCACCCTGGAAAAGGCTGTTGAACGCGGGAAAAACTTGGGTCACATCTTCTGGCAGCAAAACAGCCCTGGGCTTCAGACCATAGCGATCACCATCAAGCACTGGATCAAACGCTCGTCCAACATCTTTGTACAAGGCATGCAGCGCACTGGAACCCTGAAACTCAGCTGGGTCAAAGGAAAACGCTAGCTGATTCGTGCTGGCTCTGGCTCTTGAAACTTTGGCTTGGTGGTAAAAGTCTTTCCTATCTGAGGCAGATCCAACAAGCTTGCAAAAAGTAGGACACCAAATTGAGGTGATCGTGGTACCCGCCGGCAGAAATGCGGATGGCCCCTGTGGGTGGAGCTCAGACCCATTCAGCCAACGTCTGTCACCAATCTGCCTGTCAACCTCATCAGACTTGTGAGCATTAAACACTCTACTGCAAAGGCCGGAGCTGTGGGGCTCAGCAAAAAGAGCAAGCAGGCCTTTACTGTCCCAAAGCTTTGCTAACTTCAGATTCTCCTCGCGATTCTTCTTTGCTGAAGTCAGGGCCATCCCAAGTGACGGCTCCATGGTGTTGCAGCACTGCAGGTTCTAAGAAGGGCAGCCAGAGCACATCATCAAGAAAATCGGCCATAGGCCACTTTCCATCTCCGGTCAGCTTCAACCTACTGGCATCCAAACTCCTGTAAGGCCTGATTGGGGAGAACTGCTTGCAACTCTGAAAAGAATGCTCCTCGGAAATCTTTCCAACTTTCAAAACTGGTTTGGGACCCTCAGCATTTGATCCGGTGTAAAGGTCCGGATTGAAGGCCCCATGAGCACTGGCAAAATGCTCAAGCTCAACCAAACGCGCAATGAATTCATGGCCAGATCTACCAGGCGGCATCAAATGGCTGTCAGGTCGATCACACACAGTCAAAAGAGTCCTCAAACGTCGGTAAATGGCCAGGTGCACAGACGTTGGGCTCCTTCCAAGCAGCACTGGGGAAATTGGTTTGTTACCCCTATGCATGTAGTTCAATGCCATCACAAGGACATGAAGCACCCTCTGCCGACAAAGACGTTGCCAGCGCTTGGCATTAAGCTTGGAGACACCCTGACTCCGGAAAAGTCCAAGACGCGGAGCAGGGATGGGGAAGACTGCGGAGTCATGGCAAGGCCCTGTGGAAGCTAAGTGGAAAGTCCTGGCAAGAAAAGACGAAAACTTCGTCTTGGAACGCAAAATCCATCTGGGAAGAGAGGCAAAGAAATGCAGGGTGGAGATCTCTTCAGACAAGCGGTCATCATCTATTGTTCCTCCTCCGCACCCTGGCTGGGCTGTTGGGTTCCCTTGTTCTTTCCTCCTCCCTTTCCCTTTGGCTTCTTCTTGGTGGATGGCTGATTTGCTGGTGGTGCTGTGCTGGAACTGCTGCCTGCCTCTGCTGCATGCTTGTTGCTTGTGACCTCTGACCTCCTCGTGCTGATCACATCCAACTCCTTCAAAAACTGCAAGGCCGTTGTGATCCATCTCTGGTTGGCTGTGGGGGCAAACGGCCTTGGGTAGGCCCCTGCCGCAACTGACCTCGCACTGAAGAGGCTAGCTGGTGGATCCTCGATGATCCTCGGTCAGCGACAGTAGCAAGCCCACCTGGAGGTTTCCATTGTCCATGGCAGCTTGTTCGAGGCATACGAACAAGAGTGCTGCCGCGTCTTTTGCAGCCATGTGGTTGTCCTCTTGCATGTGGTTGAGAACCATTGCAACCTGCCAAATGATGAAGCCCAGGTCTCTTGTTCTTCCAAAACCGCCAAACCTCTCGAGGTACTGGGTAGGTGTCACCCCGCGGTCTCGCAGAGCTGATGCTTCTGCTTCCACTGGCATCGCTGGCTGCATCTTTCTCCATGCTTTGCAGAACGCTGGCAAAGAAAACTCCTCTGTGAGATGCAAGTTCTGTCTGCAGCCTTGCCCTCCCTGCTGCACCTTTGCTGGAAAGAGAGCTGGCTGTGCTCCCCAAGTCCTGCAAAGGGCTGCTGTTCGCAGCCAGCGGGGTAACCAAGGCGGTGATGGCCTTGCTCTGCATCAGCATGGCCTGTGCCAGGGGGTCCGAGCCCTGGGGGAGGTCTAAAGCCATCTCCTCCACCTCGTCTGGAGCAAAAGAAACTCTTGGGGCCCTCGTAGCTGCAGATGAACTTTTGGGAACTGGCATCTCCTTGACCAGCTGCGCTGGGCTGGACTTGGGCAAGGATCCAATTGAAGCTGACAACCCAAGAGGCCGTCTCAAGGCTGATGGTCTGTCTGCGGATGTGACTCCCCGCTCTGTCTCCATTGCGCTGGTTCTCTCGGAGAGCTCCTGGAGTTTGCTGGTGATGCCAGGAAGGGAAGCTGTCAAGGCTTCCAGGCTCTCTGCAAGTTGCGCCACTGTGGGTCTCCTCTTTGCTGCGGCTGCAGTTTGATCTCCTCCACCTGAACCACCACCTGGAGTGCGTCTTCTGGTATATCTTTTCGGAGCAGGAGCTGGCGGTGTCTCTGGGACTTCTTCTGCTGAGTAAAATTGGATACGCTCTGAAACCTCCAAGTCCACAGCTCCGCCTGCCCATGCAAGAGCACGCGCAACAACATCGTCTGGCCATGGCGCCAGGTGATCTTCGGGCAGGTCGAAGGGAGTGATCAGTGAAAGATCTTCTGAGGAGAGCTCCCTGAGGGCGTAGGATGCACGGTTGGCAAAATCCACAAGCAAAACTGTAAGGAGCTTTCCAGCACCTGGTGCTGCTGCAAGCTGCAAGGTGTCTTCGTCCATTGCTGCCGCTCGCACCTCCACTCTTGTTGAAGGCCCTACCAACGCATCTGGTTCGGCCAACATGCCGGGCTCCAGCACTTCGGCTGAAAGAGCTAATTCCGGCAGGGCAGCCAAAAAGCCCTGCTGCCGCATCATCACGACCACGGCAATGGTGAGATCTGTAGTGCCTTCCCCTCCTCCAAGTCCCAAAGTTGCCAGATCCAACACATAGGGTCGGAAACCCACCTCTAGGAACTCCGAGTGAAGAGGCAATAAGTCCAAGGCCTCCATAGCTGCTTCTGTCTCGCCAACATCTGCTGACCCTAACATCCTGCGAAGTGTCCCCAACCTGCTGCAGTGAGATAGGCCCTTGCTTCCGTCTCTGAAGGAAACTCGTGTCCCACCCCTTCAGGGGGTTCCAAGCCTTGCAAAGCCCGTTGGAAGGCAGCTTGGCTCTTGAGGATCTTCGGCTCCTCCACCCCTCTGCCCCTGAGGACCACTTGTTGGGCAAATCAATGGAGATGATCTGTGCTGTGGGCAAGGGGCCAGAATCCAATTGCGCCCTTGCAAGCAAGCCACAAGTCCAGGCTCGCTCAATTCTCTCTTGGGGTAAGAGAATGCTAGCAGCAGAGAGTCGAGCGGCAAGAGCCAGGACACTATCAGGGCAACGGCGAGCAGCAGGTAGATCACGGGCCGGAACGGAAGACGATGGAGTGGGCGATGAACCCTGGGCAGGATAGGAGGCAGCTGGTGCGTTGTGGCCAGGGACAAGCTTGTTGACAAAATCCAGAGCTTGGGGAGCTGGTCCAACCACAGAAATCCGCAAACCTTGGAAAACCACAGCCAAGCTAATCTCGTCGTTGTCGGTGGTGTCGGCTGATGGCCCGCGGCTCATCCAAGTATGCCCTGAGCCTTGTGGAAACCTGGCCTGAAGAAACCTCAGTTGGAACAGACCTGGCAGGGAGAGGCAAAAGTCCACAGAACCAAGCACAGAAGGCAAGTCCAAGTAGAAAGCCAGCCAGGAGTCCAACGGCCAGAGAAGCAGCAAGTCCAGGCAACCCCACCCCAAAGCAGTGGGAAGGACAGGCAATGCCCCACCAGTTGGTATTGACCCCCTGGACCACAAAGGAAAGGGCTTTGGGGATCAAATCCATACACCTTAGCCTTGAGCAGTGGAAAGGCGTCATCCACATTCATTCGTATGTGCCCAAAACCCCTTTTTAAGACCCCTTGCAGCAACTGTTATTGAGGCTGAAGCAAACCAATTATGCTGAACTACAGGGACATCTCCCTCATGGAGAGTGCGCCTCTACTGTGGCGGACCGCGTCACCCGCGGGAATTGAACCCATGACCATTTTCGGGGGGGGAGGGCCCCCTTATAATTGATATCTAATACATAACGGGTAGAATTCCACGTTTAGCCCGGGCTGGCCCCCCAATACCCCCTTTGCTTGTGCTGAAGCACGGAGAACTCAGGTAGCTGACGCTACCTTTCGTGACTTTGACACGAAGATATCAACAAAGATACAAAGATACAAAGGCCGAGACATCGGAGACATCGGAGACATCGGAGACATGAGATTTAGAACTTGCGGAGACATCGGAGACATGGAACTTGGTAGGGACAATTCATACCAGAGCGATCATGACCCACTCCCTGCATGCAATCTCGATAAGTTGTATTTCAACGTACTTTATGCACAGCGGGGCCTACGGGGGCCTATGGAGAAAAGGTCCAACTTGGAATGTTCATGGCCCACGTGGAACTAGACCGGACAGCCTCGCCATCCTCTAAAAATCAGGTCATGGTCAAGCACACACCATGTCTACCATGCTGTTCTGCAAAAACATGGCACTGAGGTCATGCACCGCACAAAGACTGACTAGTCACTGGTAGAATGTCACTAGAATTCTCTGATTCAGAAAGGCCGCTAACGAAACAGAGCTCTGCAGCCACTTGTCCAAGACAAAGCAAAAGCTGTCATGCAAAGAACGTCTACGCACATCTTTCAACATCTTCTAACCTTCCACATCTTTCTACGTTCATGTTTGCACTGTTTGCGCTGTTTGCACTCTGCAACGGTCCTGAAGGATCAAAGCTCATGGAAAGAAAGCTCCGGCGAAGGCTGGTAGCCCAACATGCATCCGCATCTGCCACTTGGCAACTTCGAGACCGGGGCAAGACCTTCAAATCACCTCACAGCCGAAATTGCCGAAATGCAACAAAATCATCGTTCATTGAAAAGTAACGAAATTCTGGGTGCTCTGCCTGCTAACTTGAATCTTTTCAAGGAACTGCTGACATGCACTGTAGTCCTCACATTTCCATGCACGCACGGGCAGTCAAAAGTCGGGAACGATGGTGCTGACAAACAGACCTTGAAAGCTGTCAACTCTTTTTACAACGCCCACAGGGGATATGCTGGGGATATTTGAGGATAAACATGGATAAACTATGAGAAACTGATAAACCAAAACTCCCGGGCGCATCCGGAACTCCCGGGCGCGCCTTCCAAACTAAACTCCCTCACCAAGGTATCACAGCCGCTGAAAAGCCGGCATGTCGCTGCACCTATCCGTTCGTTGTCGGACCAAATCGGCAGATCAGCCATGTTCGAAAATGACCAACTGTGGGGACGTATTCTAAAAAAAAGGTGCCCGAAGGGCAACGTCCGCTAATAGAGCCACAGCTGAATGCAAAAATAATGTTTCCCCTGTTGTTCTAACATACTATAACATTTTCTAACCAACATTAAAAACTCTGAGGCTTTTGTCAGAGGCTCGCGTCATTCCACGTCGTCATGTTTCCCGAGCTTCTGAAAATGGCATGCATATGCGTAAAGGATACAACCAAAAAGTTTGCCTATATCAATCTGCAGCACTCCCAAGTGGTGGAACCTCTGAAACTAGCTAATTATCCTCTTCAAACCAGCTGCCTTAATGTGGTGCATGAAAAATATGAAAATGCTTTGCGGGGGTTCAATCATCTAATCTCCTCCAATCAACAAATTTAGTTCAAACCAACGCGGCTAACCACCAAAAGGGAGCGTAAGTGGCCCTGTACTCATGATCCACGCCCTCCCGTGTCGATGCACCATGTTGTGAACCATGCCAGAAGAACTGACAAGTTTCCTCGGTGAAATCTGGGGGAACAAAAACAAGAAAAACTTTGTGACAGACTTACTGTAGGACCTTTTTATCTTGTGAAACCATATATACTTTTCAAATTAGTTTCACTTTCGCCTTGCGCCTGTCTTAGATTGGCCAAGTCCATGTCTGCAATCTCTGGAGGTCTCTGGAGATCTCTGGAGATTCTGGTGGGTCTGGTTTTGAGCAAGGTACGTCATCGCGGCAGCGAGATTCGCAGTCGGAGGGCTCTTGCAGTTCCTCTTCGGTTTGGAAATGGATGCCATTTGGGAGCAGCTGCCTGGATGGACACACCAACCTCAGCGGGAAAATCGAAGAAATTCACCGTCTCTGCTCTGGTTTCAGCCACCTGACAAATTGTCAAACCCCACTGGCTCTTGCATGCTGGGCATGCTGCCCTTTTTCTGATTTTTCATGTCTGTTCCTGACCTTGCTCTCTGGCCATTTTCCGCTGCGTTTGCTACTTGAATGGCTGTCCACGTGCAAACGAGATGCTGTCCTGAAACCACAGAGTAGGGGCTTGGAATGAAGTTGTTGCGACCTAGGAGCCCGAAAAAATAAAGTAAAAATACAACGCGCCATCCAAGATAGAACGAGATTTGTGAGACTGATTTGCGAAAACCAAAAGTTGTGCAGCTCTAGCGTGTAGTTTGCTGAGCCAAGCGACTTCCAGTAGGATTACGATTTGCTTTCAATTTTGTGGTTTTGTGAGACTCAGACTCAGGTGTTCTATACATAGTATTCATTCATATAGATAGATAGATAGATAGAGAGATAGAGAGATAGAGAGATAGAGAGATAGAGAGATAGATAGATAGATAGATAGCTAGCTAGCTAGCTAGATAGATAGATAGATAGATAGAAATTTAGATAGAAAGACATTTAGATAGATAGAAATTTAGATAGATAGAAATTTAGATAGATAGAAATTTAGATAGATAGAAATTTAGATAGATAGAAATTTAGATAGATAGAAATTTAGATAGATAGAACTTTAGATAGATAGAAAATTAGATAGATAGAAAATTAGATAGATAGAAAATTAGATAGATAGAAAATCAGAGAAATTTAGAAGATAGATTATAGAAAATTAGGTAGATAGAAAATCAGGTAGATAGAAAATTAGATAGATAGAAAATTAGATAGATAGAGAATCAGATAGATAGAAAATTGGATTGATAGAAAATTAGATAGATAGAAAATTAGATAGATAGACAATTGGATAGGTAGAAATTTAGATAGATAGAAAATTAGATAGATAGATAGAAATTTAGATAGATAGAAAATTAGATAGATAGAAAATTAGATAGATAGAAAATTAGATAGATAGATAGATAGATAGATCGATCGATCGATAGATCGATAATTAGATAGATAGATAATTAGATAGAAAATTAGATAGATAGAAAATTAGATCGATAGAAAATTAGATAGATAGATGGATAGATGGATAGATGGATAGATGGATAGATATTGATATCAGTGTCTCTCTCTCTGTCTCTCTCTCCATATGTCAGATCATATACAATGCATCCTATATATATCCTGTGAATCATGGTTCGTTTGCCACTCAAAATCACCAAAAATCTGTATTTCAATGTATTTCATAGCTCGTATTCTAGACCAACCTTACACTTGCATGTATCCAGGACAATGGGAATGTGAGCCGTACAGGCTTACAAATCTGAAATTAGAACATTTTATAGTTGAATATAACATGATAAAACTACTAATTAGGGTTCCGCACGTCCCTGCCACAGTCAAACACTGAATGTTGGTGAATGTTTCCAAGGTGGGTGCGGCTCAGTGGCTATCTGCGGGGAGGTCTTCAAAACTCTCAGCGTTGACTGGGGCTTCAGTTGTCCAGGCAGTAGGTGCCTCAAATCGACAAGGCACCAGACAGAACATATGAGGATATATGTATATACGGTATATATATATGTGTAAATATAGACATAATTTGACATAATTACATATTATCTATACATGACACATGAGTCCTGACATATCATAACCTGGAACATGCTGCCACATCTTTAAAAATGTGCCACTTGAGCAACAGTGGCCCAGTGAGGCTGGTCCTCCATGTCCACAAAGTCTAGCATGAATAGATCTTCCTCTCAAGACATTTCGGACATTCAACCCTTGCAGCCAAAGGTGCACAATCGCATGGATGAAGCCAGTAGTCGGCTGCATCTGGCGTTCCTCGCACGTTCAGGGTCTCACTCTCAATAAACTGTTCTGCTGGCGCACAGGGACATAAAACATCATAAAACATCAAGAAACAAGAAATTCCTTGGGCTCACACTTCGTGGCCGTCCCCGTACCATGTTGTGAACTTCTCAGACGTTTCCATGAGCCAAAACACAATGCCACACAGCCAATGAACTTTGATCCTGGCCTGGATCATCCAAGACTAGAGATGGCAAAGCTTCCTCGTCCTGACCAAAAAACTCATCCAAACCAACTTGCTTTTATGAGTCCAACACTGCGCATGCAAACACCAATGCAATCATACAGTACTATATAGATCTATATAGCATGTTCCGAGAATTTATCTGCTAGATCCTCACAACCTTTCCGCCTCTGAACCTCAGTCGACACCAAAAGCGTCCTCCTGTTCCCACTGCAATGGCGCGGTTGGGCAGGCGTTGAGGGCAAAATGGACCTTGTCGTGCGCCAGACATTCGAGGCTTGGGCCTTTGAGTTCGAAAATGCCTCGCGACGCATCGGCATAGTCGCCCTCGGCGATCTTTTGCAAAATCCACTGACTAGCCGAGCAGCTGTCACCTGGTCGATGACGATAGAGATACACGGCATCCTGTGGGGTGACATGCTCACGACGGTAAATGATCCCACCCTTCAAAGCATCATAGCCCATTGGGCAATATCTTCCTGCAAGGTACCACTTACCATGTATGACTTGCATGCACGATGCCTCCGTGCAATTGGTGACTTTGGCATTCACAGTCACTTCCTGCCCATCTTGCCGCACATCATAGCGCAGGCACGAGCCAGAGGCAAAGCGATAGTTGGCACAGACCTCACTTGACCTGCACCGACTGCGGCATTGCACCGAAGATGTGGCAGCTGCATCTAAGATGGCCACACCACGGATGGCTTGATTCACCCAACAAATGCTGTCCTGAATGTGAATGGTCATGGTCGTTTGAACCGGATGAAGCGACACGTCTGGAAAGATGCCGAAGATCCGACAGGACAAGGTGATGGACTTGCGGCTCTGATCCTGCGTCGAACGATCGAAAAGAGAAGTCAAGGTGGCCGCCGGTGCCACAGTGATCTGTCCATCGAGATCAAGTTCCAGCACACTGTGACCATCTACAAAAGCCCATGTGTAGAAGTCGATCATAGAAGAAACTGGAGCCACTGGAGCCCGACACACTGCATGCCATGTTGAAAGTGAAAGGCTTCATAGTTCCGGGCTCTGAATGCACTTGAGGCTTCAATGGAGGCAGCTCCTGCCCCAGTGAGACAGATACGCTGGCCAAGTCATATTGCAAGCTGGGCCACGGCCGTGGCTTCAGCACGGCAAAGGACGTTTGATGTTGTTTGGCTGGGTTGTGAAGCCAAGCAGAAACCACACAAACTGCCCCATCCTGGCCAAGGAAATCATCAACCACAGAAACACCACCGCTGCTGCTAGCGCTTGTCAAACTGAGTGTTCCACTTTGTGAGTTCAAGTGAAGCCACGGGACTTCAGGCGCACAGGTCATTGCAAATTTGTGCCAAGATGATGAGCCCAGTGGAGCTGCTGTGGTGGAACTGTGGAACACTAATGCTTCTGACTTGTAGTTCAAATAGTCAGCTGCAAGTGTTACAATTGCAGTGAGGCTCACCTGCGGTGCCTGATGGGCAGTCACTTCACATTGGAAACTGAAGCCCTCCTTTGGTTTGTCCTTTCCTGATACATAGGAAATGACACCCGTGGAGCCGTCCATGGTCAGGTTGTGGGCTGCCAACTCACAAGCAGAATCCACCGTGTAGCGATCTGCCGTGCGAGGCTCAGGTTTCAACAAAATCTCTGAGGACAACGACCAGCGAAGCCTGGGATACTCGAAAGGTGTTGGTGTCAAATGACCACCACCACAGGTGCAGCAGGCCTGGTTGCTACTTTGACCTTTGACTGGAATGTCGTTGCAATCCGAGGATGCAATTTGCAAGCAAGAGAGGCCTGCTTCACTAACCCAATCACTGGAACTGGCACAGGACACACAAACACCACCACGTTTGATGAAACCACCTTCGCATTTATGGCAGGTGCCACCTGAAAATGATGCACAGCCTGAGCATTCCATCTTTGAAAGAGGGCAACATGAAGTGCTCGCCCCATGAGGAGTGAAATCCATCAGCTTCAGATCACCATCAGCACAAGATGAAGTCTCAGCATTGCTCAGATTGCTGTGAACACTTTCGGATGTTAGCGCCGCACTTTCCGTGGCGTTGGTCCCAGCACTCTTGGGGTGAACGAAGTGCGGTGCACGGGCGCAGGTCGGGCTACGCTCCTGCATCAATTTGTGATGTGGACCTTGATGCAAGCGGTTCAACAATCCTACGACATCTTGACTGCCTCGATTGCCTTGGCTTTCTTCAAAGGTCTCTCTTTGGGTCTCCTTGTCATCGTGCTTGAGTTCGTGGAGCTCCTGTTGCATCTGGGACACCACTGTGGCAAGGTTTGCCAACTGATCTGCCACATCTCCGGCCATTGTGGCGTCATTGTGCACCCGTCTTTGTAGCAGGCTGGATGACTTCGGTTTTTCACACTCAGGAACCCCCTCACACTGAGCAGAGGCAACAATGCAGAGGGTCAAAACCTGAATGCATTTTAAACAAAGCAAACTGGCCATTCTGGCCGTCAGTAGTAGCGGGTAAGATCAAATATCACAAGGCTAACAAGGCCAACAAGGCCATCAAGGCTCGAGCAAGCTGCGATCGCGAACAAATGAGAAACAACAAATAGATTAAATAGACAGCAAGTCACAGGCAAGCACACCAAGCCTTTGCAAAAGGCAACTCGAATCACTGCCGAGTTAGCAAAGAATTTGCAAAACAATTCCCGGCGACTCAATGAATCTCAATGATACTCATGTTCCGCCTCCTTTTTCGGCATGGTCCAGCTATGTCCAGCTATGTCCAGCTGCAACAGAGGCGCTTTCATCGGCAACAGCCAGGCCTTGTTTCAGTGTCTGATCAAGCAGGGACCAAAAAAGTGGAAAAAACTGAATTTTCAGACCTCCGTTTCAACTAGTCAGTCTCTCTTTGCAAACATACTTCAACTACGATTTGAACAAGCAACCAGCTAAAGGTATAGAGGGGCCTCTAGTGAAGCGTCACACCTTCGGGATGCCTCCCTGCGTTCCTAGACCTACCAAAGTGTTCACGACTTTCGCATGTTTTCGCTGTTTTCCATCCACCTGTGCCATACGGTACCTGCTTTGCACAGAAGCACGGCCTATGTCTCAAGGGCCATCGCCACGTGAAGGCCACGGACGCCGGCTGTACAAAATGTATCAAAATGCAACATGTCCGACTCGGTCCGTCCCGAAAGCCATCCAGAATCCGAAGCGCCTCCGAAGGGGCTGCTCGCCAAGTGAAATGCTGCACCTAGAGAGCCCAAAGGGTCACTTTCACACAGAGAGCGCACAGACTTGAAATTGCCCACTTGAGTGCATGGCCATTCCTTCAATCGTGAGTAGATCACCATCGCCTCAAAAAATTAGATAAAATTAGAAAATATCCAAGCTGTGACTTTCAAAATGCAATGAGATGAAATGGGACGACGTTTTCACGAACTTCATATAGACTGCATGCATTCTCCCCAGCGGCGATCCTTTTCAGCGCTGAGCAGTTTCACACGTTGGCCATGACGAGTCTCACTCAGCATCGAAGTGCCAGGATAGACATGGATAGAACACACGATTAGTGACTGATTAGTGACTAGATTAGTGACTAGATGACTAGAACACACGAGACAGGTTTGCAATGGTGCTATGTCGGTGAGCTCTCAAGCCATGGCCCAACCCAGCTGTAAATCTGGAAATGGACAGAAATGGACCGTTCCCAAGGCTTAGCTGCAATGCGTGTTGCCTCGGCCTAGACTGTACACTCTGTACATGATCACCATGACCAAGTTGCGGAGCAGATCTCATGAATCTCATAATCATCTCACAATCATCTATGATCTAGGTGAATCTCATGTGAATTTCATGTGAATCTCATGAACATCTCTTCCGGCGTTCCAAGGCTTGCGCACCCATGTCATTACGTCGTCGTTTCGGAATTTCTTACCCCGGGCCCTCCCGATGCTCTTGCGATGCTCTTGCCTATGCTCTTGCAAGTTCCCATGTTGCAGTTGGATCCAGAGAATCCAGTTGGATCCGTGTCCTCCGAGCTTTCGGTCGGTCCAGAAGATCCATAAGCTTGCTGCGCAGCTCCTTGAATTTCTTGCACAGCTTCAGCAGTTTGCTCGGCAGCAGCAGTTTGGGCTAAGTGGAGCTCGAAGGCCTTCAAGTCGCTATGGAAATTGGAAGGACACCTGTGGCGACGTCGCGACTGAGTCACGAATTCAACTGCGGCAACTTCTGGACAGGTTGCTATAGTCAAGGATCCTCAATATGCTAAAGTTGCTAGTCAAGGGATGTCAAGAGTCCTCAAGATTCGAGTTAAAGGGAATGGTTGTAGTATGTTAATATGTTGCAATCACCCTGTCTGACAAGTTCCGCCCACTATTTCATTCATATCATAACTTCAAAACTTCAAAGCTCTTTTGAACGTTGCTCACCTTGCAACAGGGCGTGCCAACGAGCACAGCTCCAATGCCTCAGCCAATGCCAGCTGCTCGTACTTCATAAGATATGCCACCACCAAACAAGGAGATCGGTTGATGCCGCCTTTGCAGTGGACCAGCACCGCACCTCTTTGTCGTTGCTGATGTATGAAGTCACATGCAGAATCCAAGAAGGGCAGCATGGAGCTGACACCATCGTCCTGTGGGAACATGTGGACACGAGCAGTGACGGCAGGAATCGGCAGGAACGGGGAATATCTATGAATATCTGGTATACTCCACCATGGCATGTGGAAATGTGTGGAATATATAATTCAATGCTTCCGAAAAATCACAACACAATGGTAAAACAATACCAAAACAGAACCAAAACATACTCAGCATACCACTGCCGTTTTCAATGATGAGTAATGATGTTGCAGCTATCCAATGATATCCAATGTTCAAAGATTTTCAGCCATCCAATGTCATCCATGGGGACATCCAATGTCCTTCACGCGGACATGATGATAAACGCAAGGGGCAGTTCCAGGCTTGGCGCCAACTGCACAGACTGCCACAATACCAGCTCGTTGCAACCGAGCGTAATCAGCTCCGGCTTGCCTCCCCATTCCCGTTGCTTTAAACGGATTTTAAAGGGATTTGATAAACGGATTGAACATGATTAAGACACCATTAGACCATGACTGTCATGACTGCCTTGACTTCATGACTCTGAGATTTGGAAATGACCCTCACCTGCCATCGTGATTCTACACTCAGATTCACAACGCAGTCTCAAAGGAATCGCACAAATAGATTCAAACCTGTGTCGACAAATGCCGCCAAAGACATGGTATCTTGTGTCAAGAAGCCAAACTAGAGTCTATGATGCTGGACATCTATGGTCACATCCTACCATGTGTAAGATTCAAAAACTGAAACCTTGCAATAACATGCACTAACATGCAACTTGACAGTGACATGAAACGCAATTTTACGAGCATCTCATCACAATCTTATCATAATCATGATTGGTTTTGCTTGCACCATTCTTGCTCGTCTCCTCTGCGTTGCTTGTTTGCCTGGTTGGGTGGTGCTTGATTTGTGCATCCCTCCTTGCTATGCACCCCGCTTTATGTAACCAGCTTGCCCGTCCTGCTTGAAACAAACAGGTGGTGTCTCATAAAGGGAAGTGCGATTGGTATCGATTGGTATCGATTGGTGATGTTCCTCTGGTGCAGGATCAACATGCAATAGCCACGAAGGAATGGTGTCATGGTGTCATGCCAAGGCTTTAACTGCGTTCCGCTCCAAGGTGAGTTGGTGCAAGGCTACGGCCTGCCTTTTGGAGCCCTTTAGAGATGCTGTTAATTTTAGTTACAGGTGTTACATGATGTTACCGTACTTGAATTGAGGACTTTGAAGATGTCTCGATTTCAACGTTCTTTTTAGTGAACAGGCATCGCCATCGTCTGAGGCACATTCCCATAAAAGGACAGAGGTTTGCCATGACTTACCCGTTTAAGTGTAAAGACACGACTTCTGAACTGCCACTGCTGTCATGTTGCTTGTTGCCAAGGTAAAGCCCTGGCGCCACCAAGACCATGGCACCATTTCCTTGACGTCGACCCCGGGCCCAGCTGAGCAAAGCCAGGTCTGACGTTGTCCCACCTTCCGATCCAGGCCCAGGCTCACCCTTTTCCCTTGCCATCCCTATCAGCCTTATCACTATCCATATATATATCATATAATGTCAACCCGGATTAATAAACCCTAGGCTGTTTAATTGGGGGTACCATTTAAGTATCAAATCATGACTATTGGGTGAATACCCCCCTCATTAATAAATTTAAGAAACCAGGGTTCATTAATCCGGAGTTGACATTACGAAACAATCAGGTCAACATTGTGACATGATTTGACCTGCCACATTCGTGACACATTCGTGACACATGTGGCTGAGCTCTCCAGTCAGCATATCTCTCGCGATGTCCGCCTTGCTCCGTCAGCTTCAGCTCCGTCAGCTCCGTCATCAGGGGCCGCGCCACCGGACCCACAGACGTGGCACACGTGGCACACATGGCGCCAGGACGCGACGAATCGACGGCGAAGCGGCGAAGGGACCAAGATGGGCCAAGCTGGGGCCGAATTCAACTGGTTTTCAACTGGTTTGGACTATTTTGGACTTGTCTCATCTTGTCTCGATAAATCCATGGGATATCATGGCATATCATGGGATCCTGTTGGATCCGAAAGCAAACCATGACCTCAGTGCCTTTATGTGCCTTTTATATCCTTTTCTGGCTGATGTTCACTGCCGGGCTCACGGAACTCAATGTACTTTGTGGAAGCGCTGGAATCTGCGGAATCCGTTGGCCAAATTGCCGACAGCCTCACAACAGACAGTGCTAAGTGAAAGTGAAACGCACGCTACGCGAAGACCAAACACCGAGCGGCCCCCTGAGATGGTCACTCACACTTCTGGGTGGCGCCCAAGGAGGCAAATGCTACAAACGTCCTTCATGTGGCCTGAGAACCATAGCACATCAGCACACTAGGAATGTCGGCCTCTCCAGAACGTGGCCAAAGGCATTTCATGGCATTTCATGCGGAACAGTTTGTGTTCTGAAAACACGGTCAAGACAGTGAAAACGACTAAGACTAAGCCGGCAGGTTCAATTGAGAAGTGCACCTCGGAAAAGGACTTCGCCATCATACCAACCTGGAATTTCACATGCATCAAAGGATTTCCGACGCTTGCATCCAGGTTCAAGCGTCAAGAGTGACGAGGCATGAAATGGATTAAAAATAGACTAAGACTATATATATATACAACCAACCTCCATCAGGCTGGAAGTTGATGTGGCACCTCCGGCAATGACCACATGGCAGCATCCACAAATGGCACTCACATGTGGAAACTGGCTGACAGCGGCTGACACTCACATGGCTCGAATTGGAATTGCCAAGCTCCAGGCGCTGGCCAATCTTCCTGCTGAGTGACCTCACCTTGTGACCAGCACCGGAAGAAAAGAAGTGACGGATAGTGACGGCTTGTAACCAGCTTCTGGCGGTTTCTGTCGCAAGTGTGCTGCATGTGCTGCATGTGCTACCAATCCCATCAACTGGATCTCAAGACGGCGAGCCTTCAAGTTCGGTCCATGACGTTTGAAGCTGGACACGGCCATGAAAACCCTGGAGCAAGGGACCACACGTTCAGCATCTTTCTGCATCTACTCTGGCAAACCCAAAATCGAGCTGCCTCCCTGTCCGGTAAGCCCCTCAGATGTGACACCAAAACGCCCCTGATTTTCCCTCAGTTGCGACACCATTTTCCCCTCAGTTGCGACACCATTGCCTTTTAGGGTTTTGGGGTGGGTGGGGTGGGGTGGGGTGGGGTGGGATAATAACGTTCATGTACCCGTGCGCACACAAGCACTGCACGGTCATCATGGTTCACTATTGGGGTGGGGTGGGGGGGCTTTCCCCGCGAAGGGTGCAACTCTGCACTGGGAAGATGCGATCGAAGGGTGCAACACTTCCCGCGAGCGGATTCACCCGCTGAGCTTCCAGACATCGTCTGCAGTTCCAAACCATGATTTTCCAAGGTGCAACTCTGCCCTTCTCTTTCAATTCATTCTGGCATGGTGCAACGCGGACAGCAACAAAAAATTGCACGCTAAGCTGCTATTCAAAAACAATCAATGACTCTGACCACTTGGTGTCTCCTTTCATGAGGCCTGTTGTTGTCTCCTATTTGTTTAGGAAAAAATCCCACACACCATGTATACATATATACCTTTTCCACCTTCATTGCCTTGTCCGGCTCTTCAACGCACTTGAAACTATGAATTCACTATGACTATGCATAGCACAGACTGTGCTCAATTCTCTTGTGCACTTTAATGCACTGGACACATATGTATCATTGCCAGAGGAATATGTAACTCAAAAATCAAAAGTTATACATGTCCCCATATCCATGTATATTTGCTCCCAGACTATAAACATAATATATAATACAAAGTAGAAACACAAAGCACAACCAGAAAACACAATTTGGGTCATGGCCTCGAAGAGGTTCCAGGCATTCAGCTGGCGACGCTCCAAGCATTCCAAGCAAGGCACAGCATGGCTTAGCTCCTGAGGCACAAGTGGAACCACGTGGCGTGCCATGTGGTGTGTGCCATGTGGGGCTCCCTGTGGGACTTTCTGTGGACGTGAGACTGTGCGATGCTGGGAGCTCCTCCAGGTGCTCTTCCAGAGAAAAGGAAGAAAGCGAAGCGAAGTGAAGAGCTCCGCGAGTTTTCAGTACGCTGCGCGCCTTGCCGCTGGTCACCATGTTGGGAGCTCTTTTAGGACTGAAAATACACGGCTTCCAGTAGTTCACAAGGGCAGGTGGGGCTTGGAGCTGAATGCTGAATCATAACGTGTTCAAATGTCGAGTTCAACAACTCAAGGCCCTTCTGAGCTTAGGCACCTTGCTTGTGATCTGAGTTCGCTGTTGGTACTCCAGCATCGAGGCCTGGAAGCATGCGAAGTCAATAAGCACTTCTGGTCCCCTCTGGAACTCAAAAACAGAGGTTTCTCTATGTTTTCTCTCACCTCCCGAACTCGAATCATTTGGCTTGTGTCAATTGTTCGTGTCCTGTGCTGCACACATCACATGACGATGCGATGGTATGATGATAATGATGATGCAAATGACAGTCTCAATTACGATGACGACAGCAACATTGATGACGCCGACAAACGGGAAGACAAGAACATCAATGCAGAGCAATGAAAATGAAGATCACGTTGACGATAGCGATGGCGACTGAAGTTGACTGAAGTGATAACAATAACCATGATGCTGACAATGCAGCTGATGCTGATAATGGGAGCAACCGTGACCGTGATGATTAATCAGAATGCAGAGTCTGAGGTTGGGAAGAAGAGGACTTCGAAGAGGGGGTTTTGGACCGATACAGTCTGGTGCGTAGGTTGTGACTCACACATCTTACCCGGGTTTCCCTGACAGACGAAAAACATCAAGAGCCACGGCCTCTGGGAATGTTTTAAGAAAGCACGAAGTATACTTCAATTGAATTTGCTGCTATTTGCTCGATCACTCAAGTGAATTTGGGGGAGGCCATGCAAATTGACAACGGACCAAACCATCTCGGGGAGTAGACTCAAACATTGAGAAAGTAGACTCTACCATGTCACTTTTCGAAACCTCTGATCTCTGGAAAGGAACCTGCTGGTAGTGATCAACACGGATGCATCCACGCAGTTGGTTGCCTATTGGTTTTCGACTAATAAGTGCCACGATGTGCCAAGCACAAAGGTGTATACAACATCTGTTTATCGATGGCCATCTCTTAGTTGTTTACCTTCACAAAGATTGTAGATACAAGAGTTTAAGTTAAGTAAGGACAATCTGTTTACCAAGAACTTAGTGGCGCTCTTTAGTGACCTTCTCGGTATCGCACTCAGCGGCACACCTGGCGTTTCCACCTGGCGGCACTCAGCTGTTAGATCTGCCGGGCTGAGCCGGTCAGGTCAAACAGTCCCATAGCGTGGTCTAAGCGTTGGCTTAGACAACCCCTGATACATAGCCACTTAAATTGTCAGCCATAGCCCGGAATGGCCAACCACTTAAGAATCGATGGTCATTATAATCATGGCTCAGGAATCAGCAAGAAAATCCATGGCAATTTGATGAATTCCGATTTCACTGCTTCAACCATCAACATCTTGTAACTTCAGGATGCAATTCTCAGTACCATGATGTATGTAGTTGAGCTTAACTTGTGAGTGATGGGTTGTACTTCTCCAGATCATCATACCACAATAAGCCCTAAAAATATCACATGAGCGGAGCACCGGTACAGCACTGCTGGCCTTCTCCAAGATTTCTTCATTCAAAGGCACAGTGGCCGCTTGATGGCCTGCACGATCTGGATCAGAACATGGGAATGCCTAAATCGACCGAGAACAACCTGCGTTTTGTTCATGGCTGCGGCAACCCCCAACGGACCAGTCACTGTGGAAGTTCTTCGAAACAATCAGCGACAAGGGGACCATGATGGGATCAATGTGTGACACGTCGATGTTAATCGTCAGTACCTGCCCGGGCGAAAAGATGTATACCGTAAAATGTTCGATCTTTGAAATCCAAAACGTTGAAACACCACCCAACGTCACCCACCCCCGGCAACGGTTTCCGGACCTCCGCTGGCCTCGGCCTCCACAGCCGCCCTCGGCTCCGACACCCACACCCACAACCACCACCACCACCACCACCACCACCACAACAACAACAACGGCAACAACAATTTCAATTTGTGTGGTGAGGCCCCGGCCTTCCATCACGTAAACGATGGGGTCCAGCAGTCATGAAAAAGATCTTGCACAGAGGAAAAAGTAAAGCCGCAAGATTCCCACCAACCATCAAAGATACTGCCCGTGCTCTTGTAGAAGTATGGGCCGATGAAACCAGAGTAATGCACCGACATCCCAGGAGGCGGAGTTTTGCGTTGTTTCTTTTCAGGTTTCTTGCGCTGCGCGAAGCAGGCCCGTCCCCTTTCTTCGCGTAGCCTGCCAAGCAGCGCTGTTATGGACTCTGCCCCTGTTGAATGCACCAGTCCAAGCCGCCTCTCATTTGGCACAAGCTGAGCATACTTCTTTGCCACTGCGCGGTAGGCTGAAAGGTCTTGGTCTGGTAAACTTGCCTGGCAGGCTGGCAATGGAAACAAAAAAGGAGTACCTGAAATGGACTGCCCGTACTGCAACCAAGTTGCCGGTAGAAATTCGGAAACTTCGGCGGCCAGCCTTTGATCCACGTTTTAACCATTAAGAAACGATTACAATCACTGATTGCCCACGCCAAAAAGGTGTGCACAACCAGAACAAGCAAAGCTGGCAGTGATCAAGGGTGTCAAACATAACTGTTCTTGCGGCTGGCCAACTCTTTGCTGAAACCCACGGTGGCCAGGTTGCTCAAACGGCATGCTGCCAAAATGGACCACGGAACGTTCTTCATCTGTCCTCAGTTTGGAGGCTGAGCACGCAGCCGCGCAAAAATCTAGCCAGCAAAAGGCGCGGCAAACACACCGCGCCAGCTAAGAAGCACGCAATCTGAAAAGCGTGGAAGTCATCTTTGCCTCTGCGGGCGAGCACTTGGCACACATGCCACACATGGCAACACAATGCGAAACATCGTCATGCAACCACTGGCCTTGTGGGCTCACTCCCTTCCCGCTTTCTTGGAAAGTTTTGAAATAAGCTGCAGGCGTACAACAAAAAAATCAAAGCGGATTCTCTGCACAGTGACAAAACATATTTGCTGAGTCTGCTGCAAGGCTGCTTTCCATGTTGCTCAAGAAATCTCAGCTGTATATTCTGCTTGAAAACACAATGAGGACGACCCGTCATGACTAAGTCGCTGGAATTCAAGTAGAACGCCCTCTGAAGAAGACTTTACATTTTTTTTGTGACGGTCGCTGGCTTGCATGGTTTTGCAGCAGTAGTGTGAGAGGTGCTGCGTGTCTTTTTCGCAAGTCAAGAGTTTTTCTATGTGCTATCGCATGCAATTCACCTCTCCAGGTAAACCACTAAGGCCTGTCACGGCCCGCGAGACGGCATCTTTCATGCCACCGTTTTGGCAACGGAGTATGCAAACAACTGCAACTGTCCACGAAAGGCCGCCAACATGGAAATCAAAACAAACAAAACCCAAAACTGCAACTGTAGCAAATGTTCTGACCAAACCCCTCCCCAAAAAAAATGGATCTTCCAGCTTCAGATGCAGCATAATGTCAGAGCGTCAGAGCCTCTCGAGCAGGCGAGTCCAACGGCCAAGGAAGGTAGCCCACGAAAGACCGTCGATCCTCGTCCTGACACATGGCCCCTTGGCTGCTTGGCCCCTTGTCGCATGATGAAATCATGAGACCATGATGGACCACGCGGATGGTCGGGATCGCCAAAGCCACATTTGTCACATTTAAGCCACATTTGTCCATCATTTTCGCAGTTCCTTCAAGATCTTCAAGACGTAGTCCCACTTCACGGAGGTGACGTGCCCAAAAGTTCCATGCCACGTCGCGCGGCTTGTCCCTCTTGTCCCCTGAAGACAGGAAGGCAGAGACACAGACAAAAGATCGGTGTGTCTCAGCGTCTCTGCGATTTTCGTGGAGGGAAAGAAGAAAACAAACAATCCGAAAGCTGTTAATTGATGGAAATTGGCTGTGTCTGGCCAAATTGGCCTCCCAGTTTCGCCGGCGGTACGATATCTGGCAGCAAATCATAATCCAGCTGGTGTGAGACGCAACCGCAAAGTTGGCAATCAGCTCGATTCGCAGCGATTTCCAAATAACAACTTCGAGGTCAAGCCTACTTCACCAGGCAGCTTCCAGATTGTCTGCACAGGACCGGCAAAAGGGGCGGCGAGCCATGCCCCATCTCTCCAGGAGGATCAAGAGGTTCGGGTTCTCGGGTTCCGGAAGGAGAAAATATGATAACATCATTAAGGAATTTTTAAGGAAGTTTAAGAAAATCATGCGTCAAAAGCGCATTATCTTGGACCCTCTCCTGAAGAGAGTATCTCTCCACTGGATAGGCGAAAACTGCGCGACTGGAGGCTTTAGGGACTCCCTCAGTCCACGAATTGCTTTGCTTGGCTGGTTGAATGGGATACAAAATGCTCAAAGCCCTGCTCGACCTAAGACAGGCGCTCTGTCGATGACGCGTCTTGATGGGGCCTGGCGGAACCGTGCGAATTCCGCACAACTTTCCCACCGACCATCTAAATGATGGTCACTAGCCGCTAGCCACTAGCCTACATCAATTTAAGGGTGCTGCTTCTGAGTGTTTCTGATGATTTCTGAGGTGGTTGCAGGTGTTAAGGCCAAGCTAGCCTCCTGACTCCACCTGAAAACGTTGGATTTCATGAAGTTAGGGATCAAGGCTTAAAGGGTCAAAGCATTGTGGCATTGTGCCACACACCAAAAAAAAACATGTGTTTGAAAGACATCCAATCTTCCAATCAAAGTCGCAGCGCCTCTGAGAGATGCTTGGTTCTTGAGCCCGCTGTGAGGTTCATCCAGGATCATCCAGCTTCAGCGCTTCATCTCCGTTGAAACAATGGCTCCACGCTCAGTGCTCAGTGCGCCTGGAGTCGCCCAATCTCCTCGACACAGCTCGAGATCCAAGGGATCCCCCACGTGCAGAAAAACTAGCTGCACTGGTGATCCCAGTGATCCCACCAAATATGAAGAAATCTGGTGATCATTGGTGATCTACTAAGCTACTAAGCTACTAGCTGCACTAGCAGTAACGCTCATGAAAAGGATGCACCGCCACACTTCTGCCAAGTAGCTGTTTCAAGTCCGAGATTTGTTCCTGGCAGAAGCTTGAAAGGTGCCAAGTCCTAAAGTCAAGTCCCAAAATGTGGCGCTGTCCTGAATCTGTAGGGCTGCTAAGCGTTGCCCAGACTGTTTGCTCACCACATCCATTCCTGGCCGTGTGTTCTGATCCAAGGTTTGTCAAGATGCATTGATAATACGAGCAAGTTGAACGAAAAGTCATGAGGGCTCTTTGGTCAGCACCGCTTTTCCTTGGTGCTTGCTGACGATTCATAGCGTCGTTGCCAATTGGTTGTGATACGAAGTCGCTCCAGCAGCTATGCAACCCTGTCGGGCAAAATATTTCTGTCGAAATACACCAACTCCTGCATCTGCTTCTCGCTTGCAAGTGTGTCCGCTGTAATCTTTTCATGGAGCCTGTCCACAATGAACTGGGTCAAAACAAAGTCAAAACAAAAATTAAAGGACCGGATAACCCCACAAGTCAACTTCTTCCAACAAGCAACAAAAGAAAGGCAAAGACGGCATGGGGTAAGCAAGAAAGAGAAAAGGGATGGTGAAGGATTGGTGTGGAGTAAGTTATGTGTGGACGAGTATGTGTGAGTAAGTTGTGTATGGATGAGTTGTGTTTGTGTGTGAGGTGTGTGTGTGTGCGAGTATGTGTGTGTGGTGTGCGGCCACGATCAAAGATGCCCCACGCCAGGAAGTGCGGCGAAGGGCAATCGATGCGTGACCATTGATTATGTGTCCGCAAACGTACAGCGCAGACCATCACGAAAACGGATGGCCCACGACTGGCGTTTGGATGATGTGTGTGTGTGTGGGTGTGTGTGTGTGTGTGTGCGTGGGCGTGTATGTGTGCGTGCGTGCGTGCGTGCGTGCGTGCGTTGTGTGTGTGTGTGTGTGTTGTGTCTGTGTGTGTGTGTTTGTCTGTGTGTGTGTGTTTGTCTGTGTGTGTGTGTGTTTGTCTGTGTGTGTGTGTATGTGTGTGTGTGTACGTGTGTGTATGTGTGTGTCTGTGTGTGTGTGTGAGTGCGGGTGTCGGCGTGGACCATGTACGCGATGAGGTCAGTACCTGGCAGGTAGTATCAGAAGATGCGATCACGCTGAAATTGCAACAAAACAGCTGTCCATGGGCAGTGCAGAATTTAGCCTACAACGCTCCTGTTCCTCTTGGCTTGTCAACTACTGCCCCACGACACCGGTGCAGACAAGCGCATGAGAAACAAACACAGCTGCACCTTTCGAAGTTTTGCCGCTATGATTCATCGGATAACGCATTTGCTTCTCGCATCAACTATCGCACAGTGCTTCAATGTGGCCACAGGAGCTATGGAAACTACCTTGCCTCAATCCATCGGATGACACACTTCCTTCTCGAACAACTGCCGCAGTGTGATAAACTCTCTTCAAGAGGAGAGGCATCATCTTTGCACGGTGCATCAATGTGCCCACACAAGCTGTTAACACAAACTTCAATATCGCAGGCATCATCTTCGCGCATTGCATCAATGCGCCCACGACAGCTGTTGACAGTGTACCATCCCATGACATGAAGCTCTCGCGACATCTGCCTACATGGCATCATAAGGCAGTAGAGCAAAATACAAATAATGGTAGCTACCTCGCCTCAATTCATCGGATGACACACTTCCTTCTCGTAACAACTGTCGCACTCTGATAAACTTTCTTCAGCAGGCATCATCTTCGCACAGCGCATCAATGTGCCGACACAAGCTGTTAGTATAAACTTCGCTATCGCGGGCATCATCTTCGCACATTGCATCAATGCGCCCACGACAGCTGTTGACAGTGACATACAAATAGCTGCAACTGTTTGCACAGAACCTGTTCTGAGCTGGGACGAACGCCATCTTTTCTTTCGATCACATTTGCATCGTGTTCAGGAGCATATAGTGTTTGTCCTTGCGCAACTGCTGAATGCTTTTTGCAAATGCCATGCCACCGTTCTTCAAGAAATTGTACGATGCGTTCCGCTGATCAGTCAAACGAGAAATCGTACAGATCTCCACGATTTCGCGCTGAACTGATCAACGTAATGCTTCGTACAACTTTTTGAAAATGGTGGCATGGCATTTGCCAAAAGCATTCAGCAGTTATGGAAGGAGGACTTAGCATCA